AGAAACCTAAGGCTAGTTACAAAGATGAGCAAAAAAGTAGTGCAAGGCTGATTATATTTGTGATTGGAGGAATTACATATTCCGAGATGCGCAGTGCTTATGAAGTTTCTCAAGCCTACAAGTCCTGTGAAGTTGTTATTGGTAAGCTTGTCTTGGGGAAAGGGTGGTATGTAGGGGATTACTACATGTGTTTCTGGAAAATGTAAGGATCTTTTTTTCTTACATTCCCTAAGTCAGTTCAGTAAACGGTGCTATAGCCAGTGTATTTCTTAAAACTATGCACTTAGAAGTATCTTTCCAGTTTATCTAGATTGCTTGATGTTCAGGGGTTTTTTGGCAACGAGATATTAAGGACAATAAATACAGTTAAGCTCTACGGAAGAATCATGAATTACATCAGAGAAATATATTATTAAAGTAGCCTGATGTATAGCAAAAAGGATTTAAACAGACCTATATTTCCTTGCATTACAGTTCCCTCACAAATTTTTGCATCTGCCTGTGCTTTACCTTCAGCTATGCTTATTACTCTCATTGCTTTTGGAATTAGTAGGAAAGCTGTCAGACTAGTGCAAAATTACTCACTGTGGGAGAAAAGGAAGATAAATGTGGGTTTTTTTATAAAAAAAAAAAAAGCAACACAAAACCACCACAAACCCAAAATCTGAAACAAACAACCGCAAAAAATTTTTTCAGTGTAGCTCAGTTGGCTTTGCAACATCTCCTAATTCTTGTCATGGTTTCTTCAGAGACTTTACACAAACCACGTTATGATTTATAACTTTTGCCCTGAAAACAGAAGTAATCTTCCTAATCTTTTTAAGATTCAGCAGTAAATGCATTAATTACCAGCTGGGGTAGTAATCTCTCAGTTAGTACTTCAGAGGCAGCAAATGCTTGTTCCATCAGCTGCTGTGCTTTAAATAATAATTTCCCGTAATGCTGTTTAAATTTAGGTGCTAAAACATTTGTGTATATGATATATCAAAACAGAGCTCCTAGATATAGAACCTTCCCAGACACCTGTATCTATCTGCAGTGGCAGCTGGTGGGTGGGTGCAGGGTCATCTGAAGCATTGTAAGTTGCTCGAGATGCTTATGTCTGGCAATTAAATTTAGTCTTGAATTTGAAAAAGGATTAAATCCGTCTACTGTAACTTTAAATAAATACTCTTCCCTAAAAGCAATGACAGCCTTGATTCTGAGGTCTAGAATAATCTGTTACCTCAAAATAGTGCGGGGTGTTGTAGGTGTGTTTGTGTGTGTGGTTGGTTTTCTTGGTTTATGTTTTGTTTGCTGGTTGAATTGGTGAGGTAGGTTTAATGCTGGTCCCAGTTTTGAGTTGCAATGGAAAGATCAGGACAACAGGAATGCAGTTTAACAGGACTGTTTCTTCATCTGAGACTTGTTTACAAAACCATGCTTAGTGTAGGTCACTCCTCCACTGTCATATCTGGCACTAACCTCAGCACCATCTTCCCTTTTGTTTAGAGATGATTCTTGTAGTTTTGTCTGTAATCCTGATTTCTGAGGAAAGGTGGTAACTGCCGAATTTCCATGTGGCTTACTGCAAGACGAAAATCTCGCTGTATTCCTGATTCAGCACTTGAGGACAGATTGACACTACTAAAACTAAAGGTTCAAGACAGCCTAACCTTAAACAGTTAAGAATTCCCTCTCTAACTGTAGTGTCACCCTTCATGGCCAAAGTCATAATCACTCTCTATGAGAACAAGAGAGGTAGTTGTGCACTCCTGAAGAGTAACAGGGATTTTGTTTGCTGCTCCAGACTTGGAATTTGTTGCAAATTTTTCAAGGAAATGCTAGTCAGGAGAGGTAAAATTTTCCACAGAAATATCAGTTACAGAAAACTACTGTTTCTGATAATCTATAATCCAGATGGTTTCTTGAATCTAGGAATAAAGCCTGTCATCAACTCACCCTTTCACAGAACGGGCAGATTTCTGGCAGGCTGGGACAACTGCATACAGTGAAAGCGGCCCAAGTTCAAGCCTGTGTTTCAGACCAGGCACAGCAGGGACTTGAAACTTGTATCCAAAGTAAGAGCCCTGGTCTGGATGTCTCAATGTGTGGAAGAGGGGCACTGCTTACCTAATGGTGACACATTTATATGGTGGCACTTTATATGGTAACACATAAGAACACTTTGAACTGTTGTACTTCTCCGGTTTCCAGGTTCAGTAAAAAAACACTGGCATGTAACTTTTTTTTTTGAAAGAGGGAATGTCTGTCAGAATTTTAGACTGATACAGTTAATACTTATGTTCTTTTGTCAGGTTCTACTCATATTTTGACACCTAAAAGACTACTGGATGAAGTGAAGAGCCTTAGTAAACCGAAGGATGTAGTCTGCATTAAGGATGAATAGCAGTGGTGATGTTTATGATGCGTTGGGAAAAGACAAATGTGTACATATTCTTATGGAATTTACTTTTCTAAATACTGTACCAGGACACTACATGGTTCTGACTAATGGAATGTCATTTAATAATTTAAAATTGCTGCTTTTTGGGGGGAGTAGAAGGCAGAGAGAGGGGGGAAAAAATCAACACGTGTTTCTTAAGCTGTATTTAGTATAGACGGTGTTACACTGCAAGTGCATTTCCAAAAGGCCATGTTCATTCCTAACAAATTATGCTGAAAGTTATTGTGATTATATATAAACTGGGATTGTCTTTGAAGACTGTGAAACCTTTCTATAATAAGAGTTTATTTCTAAGAATGACTGAATTAAAAAGGGCTTGGGCTCTTGGGTAGAGGCTTCAGAAGAAAATTTGTAAATATGAGTTTATAGTAAAAATATTTCATAAAAGTGCAGTGTCTTTAAACTGTAATATTTTCTGTAAAATAACTCACTGAAAAATCTTGAAATATATGTAATTGTGAAAAATGAAAAGGTTTTTTTAGATGGTGGTGGGTAAGGTAGAAAGTTAATCGTGGAAGTACTAAGCAGTTCTAATGTCAATAAATAACTTTGGAGAAATGCTGTCAACTGTGCACTGAAGTACACTTTATATTCGGGGATTATTACTAAAGCTTTTCGAAAAAACTTCTTACAAACTTCCTTATGATTGCGTCCATCTGTTTTAGAAGTTGAATTGCCTGTGATACAGAAGTTCCAAAGTTTTAAGCATAAATTCTCTTTTTGAGGGGGTCAGGGCAGGGGAAAAGAAGAGGAAAAGAAGGGAAACAGTTGAATTTTTCAAATGGCTTGGCAATTTAAAAAAGAAAAGCAAAACAAAGACCAAAACCTAGTGCATTCAAGAGAATTTACTGTTTTCTTCTGCTTTGTTACATGCTGAGAAATACATACCTAAATTTGTGTTGAAGGGGATCAAATTAGTTCTAAATTGTGTTCTGTTATACTGGTAATGTTTAGATTTGTCTTGCACAAATACTTCAGTAATTACAACCACTGACCTTTTAGAGGGATGTTGTATTGATGTGCCTTGAAATGTTTGTTGTATGTAGAATAATGAAAAATAATAGATTACTCATGGCTTTTGATTTACGTTTTTCCCAACTGTGAGGGTATTCATTTCTTGTTTTGCAGAAAGGTATGTTTGTTTCTTTTCCCTTAATTTTGCACTCAGGTTAACTAGTAGGTTGAGAACATTTTTGCTAGGTAGGCTCATTCAGAGTTAATTAGAAGGTGGAGAAAGGTTAAATTCTGCCCCCTATGTCAGAGAGGAATGAAATGGAGAACGTTATGTAATGATTCTAAAATGTTGCAGGACTTGGGCATGATGAGGGTAAGTGGCTGTAGCTTTCCAATTCACCTACGAGAGTTGGTCATCTGATGTATGCTGACTTTATTTTCAGTAGGACAACGGGAACACCATCTTTTTAAACTAACTGGTTCATCAAACACCATGTGCATCAAAACTTTAAAAAAAAAATTATTTTAGCAGAAATATCCATAATGGTTTTTTGAATTCTAGTTTCTAACTATAAACATCACAGTAAAAATTCAGAGTAAAAGTATGTATTTAAGAAATGCAGCATTCAGCATTTTCTTACTGAAGATGCATTCTTTGAAATCAGTATTAAACAGTTACACTTAAATTATACATAGTCCTTATGTTGTGGCAAGAACCCGAGTTCGGTATAAAAGCTATACGTAGTTGCAATTTTTTTCCTATTCCCAAAGCTTAAAAGCAATAGGTATAGAACAAAACAACTGGTACCAGTGAGGACTGGTACTTAAGGACTGAAATAATTGATTTGGGTAGTATGTAAAATCTGTTGTACTGATGTTTATTTGTTGCATAGAGTTGAAATACCAGCTTGAAATACTGGATTACTTTTGCGTATTTGGCAGTTGGACTTTCTCCAGGTGTCTGCTGTAGGCTTAAGTGCTATCAGCAGCTCAGAACTTGATAGCTGATAAATGGAAGACTAAGGCTTTTGAGTTTTGGAATCCATCACCTGCTTTTTCCAGAAGGCAAAACCAAACGTTACTGTCAAGGTGGATTAATAGAGATGCTTTAAGATAAGAAATCTGACAGCAATATGTAGCCCAAAATGGCTGCTGGTTTCTCACAGGAGCTGGTGAAGGGGGTGGGGCAGGGGGAATAACTCTTCTTTGTTTTTTTTCCCAATGATCTTCTTGGCTACTTTTTTCTAGATCAAGAATTGTTTCATCAAGAATAGGAAAGAGCTGTATCAAGATAAACATCTGCCCCCAAGCCCTAATGTTTTAGAGTACACGTACAAGGTATAGTATAATTTTGAAAGTTCGTATTTATATATTATACTTAAGATGGATACGTAGCCTGTAGCCTCTCTGTAGAAGAGACAGACATGTTACTTCACACACTGAAGAGGAAGGTAACACATGAAACCTGCAGTTGTCAAATTCAAAACAGAAGCATCTTTAACATCTGAGACATTGTGCAGTAATGATATGCTTTGAATTGTTACGTGAGAGGAAAAAACCTTGACGTACATGAGAGAAAAAATATTTATAGGGCTATTAAATAATAATATAATAAATTTTAATATTAAAATGTTAATATTTAATATTAAAAGAGATGATACCTATTAAATATAAAGGTATTACTGCTGATTTGGAAAGACACTGAGCTTTCAGTTTGCCAAGCATGTTCTGAGGAATAGCACTATATGCTTGTCTTACTAAATATGTTTTCTTAGGCATTTGCTATCAGTCCCAGGACAGCAGGTTCAGACAGTGACCCGGGATAAACAAAAGGTCTAGCTGTTCTTGTGCTGTGGAAAGATTTCTGTGGAAGAGATTAATTTTTTTTTTATTGGATCTAGGAAGCTTACAGCAATTACTTCAACTATGAAGTTCATTTACAAAGTAATAACAGGGACATTCCAAACATTAATCTAGCATAGGGGAGTGAGCCTTTCACTATCCTGTGCTGTTGTCTTAAGCTAAATAAAGCAAAAACATGGATAATAAGCAGAGGCAAATTGAATTATAAGGATCTACAGTAAGATCCTAAAGGAGAAAAGAAAGATTAATGGTATCGTTGGCTGTGAAGTGTGGAAGAAGCCATTGATTCAGGCTAGTACATCAGTGGTACACAGCAGCAAGTTTGATTCTCGCTGCTTGTGTGAATGGATCAGAGTCTGGATTCTGTCTCTATACATCAACTGATGAAACCACTCAGGTTTGCCTGAAAATGGCTGTCCTTTTTAAGCAATGCACTGTCACTTCTATCTTGATTTCCATCAGTCCCTATATAGTTTGGGATTGCTTCATTGAATAGCATCCCTGATAATACAAGACTGTTAACTGTCTGCTTGCTTTTAATTACTGCAGTTAAATGGATTTCAGAAGGAAAAGAATAGATGATTTTTCTTGGCCCATTGTATTTCTACAGTATTTTAAAATTTTCCAATCTACTTACCGTCAGGTAAAATATCAAAGCCAGATATATCTGACAAGGTAAGGATACCACATTGATAAAACAGACAATTTAATTGTTAGGAATACATAGACAGCAAATGGTATTGCTCAGTTACGGAGATAAATATGCAAGGAAGTATCTTAAAAACAAACAACTCTGAATGTAGGGCACGCTAAAACCAAAATAATTACATATATTAACTATGACTTGGTATGTTAGCACGATGCTTATGGATGTCTCTGGTGCAGAGGCTGTTTCCCTTTGCTGTGCTTAGGCAGCTGCTGTTAAGGTGTGGGAAGAAAATAAATATATGTAGTAATGACTGAGATTAATTCTCCTATTTGGGGGTGGGGGAGAAATCAAAAGTAAAAAGTTAACTTTACTTGTTTAAGGCGATGTTTATTAAGCTGTCCTAACTGAATACTTAGAGAAGGCAGCTGTACATAGTAACAGGGGTTAGCCAACATACTGAAGACTTTCAGTAGAATTAGTAATTTGTTTTCCAGTTCTGAGACTGAGTGTAAACATGTGGAATACCAATATGCTCTGGTTTGGTTTAGTACTGATAGTTACAGAACAGCTGGCAAAGACAGCTAGCTGACTTTCTGATCTTTGTATTTATCACCCAAGTGTCAGTATCTCTGCAAAAATAAAGTATCAGCCAGCAAAGCAATATAGCATTTGAAACTGGGTAATTAAAGCTGTGTTCTTTTAACTTCAGCTAGATCTTCTGAAACTGCTCGTACCATTCGTTCCGTAGCTTTCTTCAAACTGTCTGCTGTCTGTATGGCATGATCCAGAGCAGAACTTAAAATCTGTTGAGAATAATAAAATATAGCCTTGTTAATTATGAAGGCAAACATTTACATGGGTATAGAATAGAAAGTGATGTTTAAGGTTCTATGTAGCATTTTCACTCTGAATAAATGTTGAAAAGTGAAAATTCTGGGTCATGTGATAGACTGCTCTGGGATTCAAGTTGGAAGTACCTGTTACTTATTTCTCTCTTAGATTGTATGATCCTTTGAACTGAGGGATATTTATACCTTTCTAAAGAAACTGAAGTTTCTAAAGGCACCCAGCGTGGTGCATGTTTGTGGTATGGAGAAGGATTTCTTTTGGTTTTGATAGTGGTTTGGATGGCTAGGGTGACATTCTTTGTTTCAGTATATGAAACGTAATTCCAGAGGTAAGATCCAGTGCTCCCTTTCACCATTTATACAGGGACTGAGTTGCATAAAACATAGTTTCTAACTTACTAATATGAAGTAATATACTCATATATAAGCTAAAATACTTGGGTTTTTAACTCATTCCTGTCTTATCCTCAAATGGATTAGACATGCTTGAATTGTAACAATCAACTTGCTAAGAATGGGATGTTCAACAGTGCTGTGATGTAGGGGTGTACTCTTCCGGAGATGGTTGCGTGGCTTTTAACTTTCACTCTGAAATCTTACATTTGCATTGGAATCATTGGCATTTCTGTTTCTGATGTTGACTGCAGATTTGCTTTGGGCAGACTTCTTGCTGGGTAAGTATTGATGTGAAAGGATAGTTTTATCATATGTGCTTGAATAGCAGGTTTTGGTGGCCTCAAAGTTGTGCCTAAAGATAAAATATACAGAATAAAATACAAACAGTTTTAGTAAGCAAAAGAATTTCTAAACTGTAAACTGAGGGATATTTATACCTTTCTAAAGAAACTGAAGTTTCTAAAGGCACCCAGCGTGGTGCATGTTTGTGGTATGGAGAAGGATTTCTTTTGGTTTTGATAGTGGTTTGGATGGCTAGGGTGACATTCTTTGTTTCAGTATATGAAACGTAATTCCAGAGGTAAGATCCAGTGCTCCCTTTCACCATTTATACAGGGACTGAGTTGCATAAAACATAGTTTCTAACTTACTAATATGAAGTAATATACTCATATATAAGCTAAAATACTTGGGTTTTTAACTCATTCCTGTCTTATCCTCAAATGGATTAGACATGCTTGAATTGTAACAATCAACTTGCTAAGAATGGGATGTTCAACAGTGCTGTGATGTAGGGGTGTACTCTTCCGGAGATGGTTGCGTGGCTTTTAACTTTCACTCTGAAATCTTACATTTGCATTGGAATCATTGGCATTTCTGTTTCTGATGTTGACTGCAGATTTGCTTTGGGCAGACTTCTTGCTGGGTAAGTATTGATGTGAAAGGATAGTTTTATCATATGTGCTTGAATAGCAGGTTTTGGTGGCCTCAAAGTTGTGCCTAAAGATAAAATATACAGAATAAAATACAAACAGTTTTAGTAAGCAAAAGAATTTCTAAACTGTATTAAAGATGTACACCATGATAGCATACTAGGTTGCAAGTTAATTTTACAGTGAGTAAAATTTATCATTTAATTGTAAAACACAGTCTATCGTATTTGTGTTACATCCGTATTGCAGTAAGACAGAAAAGATTCCAGGTGCAGAGTCAGGACATCTCTTGTAATAGCATCACATTCCTGGTGCTGTAACTTGCAGGGGTCTGTGCCACTGGTTCTCCAGTGCAGCTGCTGTACTTCCAGGTAATTACTGCTATTGAGTAATGCTGTCAAAAAATACAGTAGCAAAACTTGACTGAGTTTCAGTCTAGTCTGTGCTACACTTAAGAATCCATTTTACTTCTCAGACTCCTGGTGTAATTTAATGTTAGCAACAGTTGAAAGTATGACTGTTACTTATAAAAAAATAGTAGGTATCGAACAGAATTGCATCTTAATACAGACTTGCTTTTGAATCTGTGAATGGCAACATCCTCTTAATAAAGTCAGATTTTTTCTTTTGTTTTTTACTACTAAATGTGTCAGCTAAAGAAGTCATGTGTTTACTTTTCATTACATCAGAAAGATTGAAGAACTACTCTAAGAATTATTTACATTTGCTATTAGGGTAAATATTTTCATTAATGAATAAAATTCTAGTGTACAGCATGCACTGCAAAAGATAAAACATTCCTCCTGCTTATGATACTGGTGAGTTTTTTCTGTGCTGAATCTTCAACAATGGTGTTTTCTGTTGTGCTACATGCAGTTACTGTTACAGCTTACCTTTCAGAAAGTCTGTTTACAAGTTCATATGGCTGTTTATTTTTTTGAGTCTTTTGAGTGGAGGTTCCCTTCTGCGAATAAGCTGGAGTTGTTGAGGCCATGTTTAAAATAAAAGCCAAAAAAATAATTTTCTATGTATTTAACATCGTTCTCTATTTAGCATAGATTAAAAAAATGAAGTAAATATTGCTGCTGAATAAAACTCGAATATGTTTAAGATTTCTTGTAAATGAGGACAGATTAACCTTTTTGGCTTTGATGTTGAATTTAGTTCAGTGGCAAATGGTATTTGTATTCCATTTCATACAGTGAAAGACTGCAGGGGGAAAGTGTAGAATAATCAGACTCTCGTAATTCTAATAGCTACATGAATACTATTTGATTTATAGTTTTACAGTATTTACTTAGAGAAGTAGCTAAATTAGACTTTCTTCCCGGTGTTGAAAACTTGTATTTTTCTGCATGCAATTTCTTTCTAGTATAGAGAGAAGTCTGATGTGACTTTAAAAGGTAGATGTTCAACATTTTTTCTATATTTTTAATTAGCCTTTCCTTGACTTAGCATGTGTCACAATTAGCGTGTAGAGCTGGAATTTTCTTCAGTATTTGTTTAGACTACATTAGGTAACAGCTAGCACTGAAAAAGTTGGCACAGTAATGCCCAATTTTAATATTCCACGTAGCACTGCAAAATGAGATATTCCTGTCATAAACGAAGTAGGAAGGGACTCTTCTCATAAAGAACTGGAGAAGGTTAAAGCTGTCGTGCATGGGGATTAACTTGGCCAGGTGTGTAAAAGTTGGATTTGCTGATCTTGCTCTACAAGATCTGTACACATCCATTGTTTTAGCTACAGTGCTACTGACTGCTTATGCTAAATTTGGCCTGATGCATGCGGTGTGGCTTTCTGCCCCTTAAAATCTAGCCTGTGACTGGTAATTATTTCAGTAACACATCATACTTACAGGATGAACCCAAACTTTTATTTCCACATAGGGCACAAGACTGAACAGACTCTTTGCAGTTCCTGAGTTTAAATTGACCTCCGCTTCCTCTAGGGCACCTGCATCTAAGTCCTGAAAACAAAGACATGTTGTTTAGAAAAACAAACACTATAAACAATATTTTTGTGTAGATTTTAATATTTTTGCAATCATTATACCTTTTCTTTCTCCACATAATCTTGTATGGAATGTTTTGTAACTTTCAGTCTCATGGTTCACAAGTTCCTTTCTTTCTGAATCACTGTAAGAATCATAGGCTGAGATGTCTTCTGAATCACTGCCTAAAATCCCCAAAATACATTAAGAAGGTCTGAAATATTAGAAACTTTGGCCTATAAACCTAGGTAATTATTTGGCTTTCAGCACTGTAAATTCTGAGCCCTTTGCTGCCATTAACACTACTGCAATTTGAAGAAGTACTTCCTCTGTTTTACAGGTGGGGATCGAACTTCAAAGATTGGCTTTCAGCCCTGACTGTAAGCCTCAAATACAGATTTTTTTTTATTTTTTTTTGTGTGCGTGTGGTGGTTGTTTCCTGTCCCAGAACTGGTTTTGAAAAAAAAAAAAAAATAAAGTTCTCCATCTCTCTGTCCTCAGGTTCTTGTTTTGAAGGTTAAAATTCCTACAAGTTGAAGTGGTATGAAAACAATGCAGCCTAAGAATGTGACGAGAATTTGGGAGGATGTAGTATAGCACTGCTTTAGCTATTGCACAAACCAGTACTAACAGTAACGGCCCTAGTCTACTATATTAAAGTGAAAGGGTATCACAGAGAAGCCAAAGACAAAAAGGTAGACCAAAGGTAAGAATAACCCACATATTCAGACTTAAAAGCTGAATCTAGGACAGCTCGTGCTATTCTCTTTTTAGTTGTTGGGTACCAACAGCTTCAGAGTATTCTGCGGTGGAAAGATAAAGTTGAGATGCCCTGAGAGAAACAAATGCCAACAGATTCTTAGTGAACTTCTAAGAGCTGGAGTCTTGGATAGCTTGATATCTGACTGTTTGGGTTTGGTGAAATTATATTATTAGGAGCTGGGCTAAGGACGGAGAATATTTCCAGTCTGCGTCAACCCTGAATGGATTAAAGATTTAGGAAAACTTTTCCTTTGCTTTCATGCAGAATAAGGAAGTTGAATGCAAAAACTAAAAGTGGAAGTACTGATATGAAATCTTTCAGTCACCAAGTTTGGCATCTCCTTCTAGGACATGAAATAAATGCACATGATGGAGAGAAAAAGCAAAAGCATTGTGTGTACACCATGTTATGCTTTTTAGGTGTTTCCAAATATTACCAATATTAACATTTTCAAAGCATCTAAAAAGGTGAGTTGGAATTACAGAGTAATCTAGGTTGGACAGGACTTCTGGACTGGACCCTGTCCAGTTGTTTGAATATCTCTGAGGACTGAGATGCCACAGCCTGTCTAGGGCAAACTTGCAATGTTTGACTAGACCCAGAGTTACAACACTCTTACTCATATCTAACTGGAAATTCTGTTGCAGCTTGCCTGTTGCCTCTTAGTCTGTCACTGAGACTGCCATGGTGAATTTCACTTGGTGTCCTCTTTAGTCTCCTTTTTATTCTTAGTGTCTTGTGCTGTACTTAGCAGCAACTTTTGTTAAAACTACAAAACAGTTTTCATGCTCCTGAGAAGTGACAGGAATGGATTTCATAACATGATTCAGTAGTAGCTATAAGCACAATTCTGACCTTTGCATGCCGTCGCTACTTACTCAGGTTGGTATCTGATAAATCAGTTGGTTTTCTCTGAATGAAGAGTGAACATGTTCCAGTTTTCCTTTCCTGGGTGTTTGTGTTACTTTGAGCGTGAAAACAGAAGGATACTTTAATTGTATCTTAATAATACTTTCATGATGAGTCTTATGAGCATATTATATTACTGTTTGACCATCTATTAGTTGAGGACCAACTGGATTTATAGAGAGAACTCTACATGTATCAATTATCTGAAAAGATGGCAAGTAGAAGCTTGAATTAAAAATTAAACAGCTGTGAAATAATGACCCCTTTAGTTAAAGGACACATTCTGACAAAAGGACCCTGACTTACCAAAGCTGTTAAAAGTGCTTAAAAGTAGAGGTCTTGATAATCACATCTTTGAATGGCCAAGTAGTATGAAATCCTATGCATTTATGTATGTGTTCACATATGTTGTATCAAAATATTATCAATGGTAAGGATGATACAGTTTCTTAGTAACTTTGAGCTATTAAGGTTTTAATTTTACTGCCTTTAGATAATTACAGGAATATTTGAGATGTACCTTCTGACAGAACAAGAACAAAGTTCCTTGTTTGTGTTTTGACATGTATTAAGTCATGACAATGCTAATTTCAGATATTTTTCATTGCTGAACACTTTGCAGTCATTCCAATTCAGGATGCTGACATGCGTTGAACAAAGGCAAAGCCTCTTCTCCTAATAATGCTATTAAGATAACTCTGTGCCATTTAGGCACCATAAACCTTATACCGGTCCGCTGAGATGGGCTACTTTGTAATACAAATAGAATTCTCTCCAAAACTGATGGGAGTTTTGCCATTTCTCCAGTCATCTGGTATATCACATACCTTATGTGATTAACTGGTGATAAACCTGAAAACAGATCATCCTCTCATTTGTACATATAAAGGCATTATTCAGTGTTTCATGCAGAGTCCAGTATAGACATACCAGTGTACATAGGTGTCTGTTCACTTAGCTGTAGAAAACCATGTCTGTGACTAGCCAGAGTATGTCATGCACCTACCCTTTCATACTTTCTTCGTCAGCATTAAATTTTTGACTTAATGTACTGTGACTATGGGATACAAGACCTTCAGCAGTGTGTTTTTCTTCAGGTAAAAAGAATCTCTGTTTCACCTAAAGGACAAAACAAATTTATACATGATTGTTTATACTACTGTGTAACTGAATTACATATCAGACAGGATAGTGTTAACAGTGGTATTGTTTGCGTACCGCTTCTATATTCTAGTTGCCATCAAATCTACAGTTTGGTGTATCTTATTTGCAGTTCTAACCATAAAGCAGACTGGACAAAATATGAGCACTTTTTAATCTGTGAAGTTGGAATTTGAGACGGGTTTTCATGTTGTTTTGAGAAGGATTAGTATATATTAATCAACTTCTCTCAGTGCCTTAATTAAATGTTTTTGTAGGCAAGCAATTGCTCTGAACAAATAATGAAGGGAGGCTAGTAAACACAGTTAAGTCTTTCTGAGAGAAGCAAACTTTATCACGGATTTCAGAAATGTATGAGTTCTTAAACTTCTCCTTTTGGAGACCAATTCACCAATGTTATGATACATTGTAGTATCTCAATACTTGAGCCATCATGCTGTGCAAAAACTGAAGAGAAATTTTGTGTCATCTCGAAGCTGAATAAAATAATCTAAGTTACGGAAACAGATTTCATACCGTTATGTTGGATGAATGCTTGCTTGCTAGCAGACCTCCTTTTCCCAGAGGTTCTGTTTCTCTTCTAGAAGTTGATTCAGCTCTCTTTTGTAACCTTGATTGGTTAAGGGAAAACACTTTATTTTTCTAATCTCATTGAGATGATTAACACCCATGAAATACTCCCCAGGAGGGCAGAGATGGTACGTGGAATTGTTTCGCAAAGTTTTGATGGCTAACTTATATAAATATCTGCACCCCTCCCTTTTCTTGTTTAATTAAAAATACCACACAAATATTGGCAAATAATTTTTTTTTTTTTTACTGGGACTGCACTTTGACCAGTGATTCACATGCTGGATTTGTGTGACTGCAATGAATTGTATACAGAGGTATGAGATTTAACTCCTAGTGATGGTAGTGTTTTGGTTTCAGGAAATACTCCGAGGTCCAAAAGACCCAGAGAGGTAGGAATGCCAAGCTGGAAGGAATTCTTGGGTATGTAGTTACAGAATTCTGTAAGAGTTTTATTCCGGAAATATTCCTGTTGCTTTCAGAGATTCCAGACATCCCAATTTTCTATATCCAGTAAACAATTTTAGGTAATTTTTTATTAAAACTTCAGGAGCTCTTTCAAAGTGTTCACTTACATGTGAAGACAAAGATTGCACTTGTCACCTTCTAAAGAAAACTGATTTGCCTGTGGGATGGCATCAGTTGGCTGACCTTCTCCCTCGCTGTTCACGTGAAGAAATGCAGTTTTGGTACCTCTTCTTTCTGGAGGATCAGCAGTGCTTGAAACTACAGAGCTCTGTACAAAGTAACCATAGCACAGATATGTGTAGTATGTGGTCATTGCATTGCAAGTACATGACTTCTACCAGACAGCATTTTCTGAGTGTCTCTAACTTGGGATTCAGAAAAGAATGTTTTTGAAAACATTGACTGTGAAAGCATTTGGGTGATACTTACATGTAGATTTGTAGAAGGCCGTAAGATTATTTTTTCTTTTGTGCATTTATGATCCAGGACAAAATATTACCATACTTAGCAAAAAACTCAGTTTTGTATGGCATAATTATGTTCAGTCTTCTAGTAATTCTGCAATTTAAGAATCTTGGACAAACATAGTAATATTTCTTCCAACTAGATGATATTGATTAATTCCCCAAAACAAAGGCAGCTTTGTAAAAGTTAAAAGTAGCTGCTTGTGTTTTCTTACTCTGAAATAAATGCTTTTGAAGCTGGGATTAAGAATATTCAGTGTAGCTGTGTCTTTATACTTGGGTTTCTGTTATAATTAATGAAATATTATGAAGTTAATATTTCATAGGCCCTTTCTTTGAAGTAACATGCTATCTAAAAGCATCATACTCTTACTAGAGGAGAGCGTACAGTAGTACAACCACACTTGAGTTGCATCACTAAAACAATAATTGTAGTCTTTAAATAATAAACCTGAGTTACCTCACAAAGTGAGTATGATGACTGGGCAGATTCGTAGGAAGCAAACAAAGACGACAAGTTGCATTTGCTGTCATCAGTTTGTTCTTGGATATCTTCAAGCAGCATGCCAAGTCTAAATATTTCCCCTTCCACCTTTCTAAACCCAATTGCAATACATGGTTAGTGAAACCTGTACAAACTGATACTTTATTTCTTACTATGATAACCATATTGGGCATTGCAGTACAATCCCCATATGGGGGGGGGAAGTTCTCGGAGTCCCTTTGAAGTATTTGAATTAATCAATTGGATGTCCCAATTATAACTAGGATATGTAAAGCCCAAGATGAATTTTGGCCAAATCCCTTCTAGCTTACCACATAAAACATTAAGATAATGTTTTCAGTTCAGAAACATTCTAATGATTAATGAAGTAATGGTTGTAAGAGACTCAAAATGTGGAAAATATACTTATGTACTACTTAGCACTTATCTTCTAACCTTTCAGGATCAAAATCTCCAACGTTGATAGACTTGTCCTTGTAGATCTGCAGCTGCAAATTACGGTGCTCTTCTCTAGCTGTTAAATAATTCCTTTCCAAGGCATCAAGGTATCTTTTCAATTGATTTAATGCCTTCACCAATAAGAAATAATTCAAAAGCAAATGTCATTGTGGTTTAGCAAGCCATAGTGATTACTTAGGTTACGTAAGCCAGATGCTGTTTGCAGTGATGTTGGTAAGAATTCTGGTACTGCTCTGAATTGGAACAGGACTGCATCTTGTATGTCCACCTAGTACTCTGTGCTGCTCTATTACGTACAAGTAAAATTTTAAACCATGACTTCTGAACTGATACCCTACATGTCAAAATTTTTAACTTATATGGCAACTTAAGGCATTTCACTAATAGTTTTGAGTTGAAATCTTTAAAACAGATTAAGAATTCAGCTACCTACTGAACACCTTCACTTTTGGCTCTTAAACCATAACTGTAGTCTGAGATTGAGGAAAAAAAAGAGTATTTTTAAACGTCTGTGAGGAAAATATGGAGTATCTTGCCAGAAAGTTGCGAGTCTACAGTCATTTAAAGTGCATTTCAGAGAACACAAATTAACTTACCAGACAGTTGTCTTGTAAAAGGAATGTCTCTTGGATCATGTGCTTAGAGAAGTCTTCCACCTTCAAGACAAAATATTGGACTTTTATTTGGGATTTTAAAAATGAGTATGCCAAATTAATATAAAATTTGAGCATCAGTGCAAAGTGTATATATTGAAAAAGAGCTCTTTACTTTCTTTATCAGTTGATCTGTCTGATCCTTTAGTATTTGAGACATCTTTTCTCCTAGTGTCAGTTCCCGCAGTAAATTAGGAGGATTTACAGTAGAAGCACACTGTCTATCAGCTGCTGGTGGTGCTAATGCTGTTGTTCCATACTGTAATCCTACATAATACAAGATAAGATCAACCAATGGGAATTTCTGCCCAAAATGTCTGCCCAAAAGTGCTATCAAATTACATAAGTCATTTGCACAGTTACTGTAATTTTATTTACTTGCTGTAGACAAACCACATGTAGATTGTATAGGGATAGGAGCATGTAATGTAAAGACTTCAGAGGATGTCCCAGTGTCTCCTGAGTAAATGGCCATGTTGGCATTTGGAAAGTCTGACTGAGGAAGCATCTGTTAAAATGAGAATTTTGGTTATAGAAACAATGTATAGAACACTTGTGGACATAAAGAAGTAGTAACTCAAAATACATAGGACTAGTTATTAATATTAATGAAACATATTATAATACCATATAATTTTCTGTATTTATTGATATTTGTATAGTGTCTCATTGTATAAATATTTAAATACTTCAACTCATATGTTGTGAAAACATAAAGAGGATTTGTATCAATGGAAGTACAATATGAAGGTGACAAAGTAGTTTTGGGAGTATTCATAGACCTAGAGATAAAGGAGAATGAATTAAAAATAAATGTATTTTGAGAGACTTACCTTGGGATTCAATCTCAGATCATTAGTATGATTCTGGGTGTCAGCATGCTGTGTCAGCCAGGAAATAATAGGGAAAACTATTAAAACTTCTGTCTTGAATGATTTACTAAAATATAAATCTAGGAATGGGCTTAAGCATCTGTATAGCTCTGTGAGTGAACTCCATGGCAGGGCATGGAATTGAGAAGTGATTATCTAATTACTAACAAACTTTAAAAGGCATTTACTCCAGTAAGAGGAATATTGTTGTCAAACAGATCCTTTAAAAAGAATTGACTTGTCAATACCAGTATAAATAGTTGAGGAGTGTTAAGATGCAAAAAAAGGCAAAGATGTCTTTAACATAAACACAGGTACAGTATAAAAATATGTTTTTAAGAAAAACTTCCAATTTACAGTATTTTTGGTGAATTTGAACATTTACATATAGTGCTAAAATAACAATTTATAGCGAATTTCCTAATGATTTGATAGGATGCCTGATAATAGCAAATAATACTCCAGAACATCATTAAGGACTCGGTAATGTTCCATATAAATGCCATATAAAGTTCTACACAAATTCAGTCCCACAAGATTTTATTTGTGAAAGCAATTGTTGGCTAAAGTGATACTCACTGATACCTACGGACTACCTGTGTGAAATAGTCATGTGGGATTTTACTGGATGCAGAATATCTTCGTATGGTAAACCACTCTTCACCAAGTATTCAGAATTTCTCGGAGCACCTTCCTTACCTCTAGCTGTTGCAGCAGTTCGGTAATGCTCCTCTCTTCTTGATTCCCTACTTCAGCAGAATTGAAATAGTTCTTATTTTTTAGACTGTTGCTCACAGTTAATGATTTACTGAGCAAAATAGGAAAGGATTTTGCCCTTTCAATTGTAGGAATGGAGTTAATATTGTCACTTCTTTTTGGTATTCTAACTGGTGAAGCAACTTTGGAGAAGTCAGGAAGGCGATAGTGAGCGTGGCCTTGGCCATATTTGGGCTTGTGAGGTGAAACTGTTTTCTTAAACAGGGCACTCTCTTTTTGCGTGTTTTGAAAGATGCTTGTATCTTCATTATCATTAATCAACTGTGAATTTTCTTGTCTGCATCCATGCTTGTCAGTAGAAATAAGTTCCTCTGAAACACATCTATTCCCATTTAGCAAATTTTGATTTTTATCACCAGTGTTTACTTCCTTGTGCTTTTCTAAGTGATATTCTTCAAAGTTAGCTGCCCATTGTTCATGTACCAAAGGGCCTCCGACACGTTCTGAAGGCTCGGGTTTGTTCACAGTGTCATCGATACTTTCAGTAAAGGATGTGTCTGGTATTGTCTCGCATTCAATTAACTGGCATGTGCTTATTAACTCTCCCTTAGAAAAATGACGCAAAAAGACACTGGATGCTTTTGAGCGAGTTAGATGTTCTTTGCTACCTGCTTTACTAAAACTACCAACAGGTAGTTCCTTCTTAAAGGAAGCTTCCCTTCCAGGCATTTCAACTGAAATTCCCATTGTTCCTATGGCATCTCTGTGGTGACTGGAGAATTCTTCAGGCTGCGAATGAGTTTCATAATTTGCTGTTGCTTTTACATTTTTGTTATTTTCAGAACAGGCTAAGTTTACAATACCAGAAATAGCTTTTGTGCAAGTCCAGTCATTCAAGTTATCTGAGTTATTATTGCATTTACAGGTTATTCCTACATCTCCATCATAAGGTAAGTCCTCTTGTTCCTCATCAGTTGCACCTGTGATACGGCTGAATTCATCTGCAAACGAGCTATTCCTCTGGGTCTTCATCCAGTCTGACCGTTTGCGTTTTTGCATAGTCTCCATATCCAGTTCATGTAGAATACGGATGCCATTGCTTCCCCTGGTTTGGATAGAGCTTTTACTATTGCATGGATGAAAATTGTAATGTATGAGTAGTAATTATTTTATACATAAATACAGTTGAGAATAACAACTACTTCTGTCTTGTACCTGCTGTAGGTTTTTAGACCCATCCCCCTGACGTGCATGTTGTCTTTTGTATTTACACTAGCGTAAGCCTGCATTAACTACGGGAGGAAATAAAGGCACAAATGACAGAAGCATGGGGGAAAGGAGAATAGAGCTTAGTGCCAGGTACTTGTCCTCGCTTATTAAGCCCTCTGTAGTATTATAAACAAAGCCACTGCTGCTACTAGAATTCAACCTCGGCTTTAAAAAAAAAAAAAAAAAAAAGTTAGAAAATAAAACTTCTCATGCTTTGCCTCACCAGCGTACAGCGTTTCTTCAGCTTCTGCAGCAGAGACAAATCGCCAACCTTTTAGTTACGTCTCACGCCGGCTGGGTGGCTGTGACACCGAGGTAAGGCGCAGTGCTGTCACGACAGGAAGGGTGGTGTTTCGCCTTCTCCGCCGTCCCTGTGACCGAGGGAAGCGCCCTGGCAGCACCGCTCTCCCGCAGGCGACAGCTCCTGTGCTGCCGAGGCCCGGCCGCTCCCGTGAAG